TTTATCTTCTACACTATCCCTATTCCAAAACGTGAGACTATTCCAACAATCTAATACTCTTTCTCCTATCATTAGTTCTCATGTGTATATATATATATATATATATATTTTTTTTTTTTTTAATTTTTTGGTATGGTTGTGGGGCCTGAACTCTGGGCCTGGGCACTGTCCCTCAGCTCTTCAGCTCAAGGCTAGCACTGTACCACTTGAGCCACAGCGCCACTTCCGGCTTTTTTTTCTGCTTATGTGGAGCTGAGGAATCAAACCCAGGGCCTCATGCATACAAGGCAAGCGCTCTACCACTGAGCCACCTTCCCAGCCCTCATATATATATATATATATATATATATATATACATATATATATATGCATATATATATACATATATATATATACATATATATATATATATATATACATATATATATATGCATATATATATACATATATATATATACATATATATATATATATATATATATTTCTTTTTTTTAACACCATCCTACTGTTTCCAGCTTTAGACCATCAAGTTTTTATGCTGGAGATATAATATTTTTCAGTGTAACTATAACATATAAAGGATCTTCTATCACAATCACAGATGGGACTGTATAATGGATTCACTTAAGATTCTTGTAGAAGCAAATAGGATTTCTACACAAAAATGTTCTTCAATCCTATCACTTTCATTTTTGCCTATCTTCAAATCTTTACTTCTACACATACCCACAGTAATCACAATTCTGAATTACATGTTTCTACATACTCTTCTCTTTAATGTTTTTGTTGGTGCTGGGGCCTCTTGCCTGCTCAGCTGATGTTGCTCAGCTGATATTCTACCACCTGAGCCATACCTCCAACATAGCTTTTTGCTGGCTATTTTGGAGATGGTGGCTGCAGGACTTTCTTCCCCAAATGGTTTCAAATCTCTATCTTTTTCTTAGCCTCCTGAGTAACACTGCTCTCCAAAGTACAGTATTGAGCCCTGAGTTTCTTACAGTAAGTACTTAAAAGGTCATATGCTATGGTAAATAATGCTGCAATGAACATAGTTGTACTGGTAGTTTTAGTGTGGCCTTGTGATCGTTTGGGCAAATACCCAGGAGGGCGACTGCTGGATCATAGGGGAGCTCTATGTTTTAGTCTTTTGAGGAACCTCCATACTGCTTACCAGAGTGGTCGAACAAGTTTACATTCCAACAGTGTAGTAGAGTTCCCTTTTGGCCACATCCCCTCCAGAATCTGTTATTTATTTTCTTGATAATGGCCATTCTAAGTGGGGTGAGGTGGAATTGCAATGTAGTTTTGATTTGCATTTCTTTTGTGGCCAGAGATATTAACATTTTTTCATGTGTCTATTGGTCATTCTTATTTCCTCTCCAGAGAAGTCTTTTTTAAAATTCTTTAGCCCACTTATTAATGGGGTGGTTGTTTGAGAATTAGTTTTGGGTGGGGGGTTTAAGTTTTTGAGCTTTAGGGATATTTTAGATATGAGGCCCTTGTCTGTTGTATAGCTAATGAAGATCTTCCACATGCCCCTCAGTAGATGAATGGAACAAGAAAATGTAGTATATACACAATGGAATTCTATGCTTCTATTATGATACCGTTTCATTCATAAAGAAATGGCTAGACTTGGGAAAAATCATATTAAGTGAAATAAGCCAGACCCAAAGAAACAGGCTCTATGGTTTCCCTCATTTGTAATAATTAGTGTATGTCTAGGATAGTTCTAGCAGAGGATCACAATAGATCAATAGTTATGTACATATGATCACATAAAATGATGCTAATCGAAATGAACTCCAAGAAATGGAAACAAGAGGGTTTTGTTGTTGTTGTTGTTGTTAATGTACCATGTGAAGTTATTTCTTTTTTCTCCCCCCCACCCCTTTGGTTTATCCCCTGTTGTTACTGTTTTTGATTTTGGTACCCTGTGTCTTGTATTGTTTATCTGATTTGGGGAAGAGAAGGGGAATGAAAAACTGGTGTGACAAAGGACAAAGGGTAAACCAATGCAACAGTGATACTCACAAGACACTATGTTGGAAATGAACTTAACAACTTAGAGGGGGGAAGGGAAGTAGAAAAAAGAGGCAGGGGGGCTGGGAAGGGGGCTCAGTGGTAGAGCGCTTGCCTCAAATGCATGAGGCCCTGGGTTCGATTCCTCAGCACCACATAAGCAGAAAAAAGCCGGAAGTGGTGCTGTGGCTCAACTGGTAGGGCACTAGCCTTGAACTGAAGAACTGAGGGACAGTGCCCAGGCCCAGAGTTCAGCCCTCATAACTGACAAAAGAAAAAAGAGGCAAGGGTTAACAATGTTTGATAAGAAATGTACTCAACACCTTACTTCTGTACATCATCTATACAATAAAATGTAATAAAAATTTTAAAGAAAAATGATACACAAAACAAAAAAATTCGTATGTTGGCCAGAAACCAATGGCTCACATCTATAATCCTAGCTACTCAGGAGGCTAAGATCTGAGGATAGAGGTTTGAAATCAGGCTGGGCAGGTAAGCCCAGACTCTCATCTCCAATTAGTCACCAACAAGCTGGAAGTAGAGCTGTGGCTCAAATGGTAAAGTGCTAGCCTTGAGCAAAAAAGCACCCAAGCCCTGAGTTCAGGCCCTACCAGCACCAAAAAACAAACAAACAAAAGAATACATATGTTGCAATTCCTCAGCTTAAAGTACATTCATGACATATAAAGCCTGGTGTATCAAAACCAATCTCACACCCTCCATTTTATTTGACAATAAAGTGCCACAAAATCATCCAGGTTCAGAGCCAGTCCCATCACAGTAGTTGTGTAACTTGTAGACAATTTATTTAAAACTCAGTGTTTGTCTCCTCCCCTAAATAAGGATACTATATTTGCACGAATTTTTTCTGAGGGCTGAATATGCTGTCTACCCCATTAAGCATATATTCTTTTAAAAATCCTATTTATGTGACATGACTACTTCCTAAAAATACTTTTAAGGATGATTTAATATTGGTAAGTATCTAAAAGCTATTAAGAGACCTATCACCAAATGAACTCATTTATTAAGCTTTATTTTAAGTATCTTTTAAAAAAATATTTATGTCAGAAAATAGTGGCTCATGCCTGTAATGCTAATAGTTACTCAGGAGGCTAAGATCTGAAGGCAGAAGTTCAAAGCCAGCCTGGGAAAGAAAATCCATGAGACTTTTATCTCCCATTATTCAAAAAAAGCAGGAAGTAGAATTGTAGCCTATGTGGTAGAGGGCCACACTTGGGTGTAAAAGGCTAAGGGACAGCGCCCAGGCTATGAGTTTAAGCCCTAATACTGACACACATACACAAATGTTTAACAATTTGTAAATGTTGGCATTTAAATATTAGATTAGGAAGAAATAGTATCTTTAAATTCGTATTATTCAGTCTGTCTTTGCTGATTAATACCAGAGAACTGTCATTTTGACTGAAGCTTGCCTTACATTTTCTCTTTAAAATGGATGTTTCTGGTCCCCAAGAACACACTTAGAATATTTTATTAGTCTTGACTGAGAGAAAATTACTTGTATTATTTATTTCTTCCCTTCTGCATGACACAAGAACTTTTATTAGCTGGACATTAAAAATGTGAATGTTTATTTTCCATGACTCAGTTTTTCTCGTTGTTTTTCAGCCCTTGGTGTTATATTCTGGGCTGAGTTCTTAATCCTCTACCTCCTTCATTCTTTATTACTCCCAATCCTTTGGCTTGCTCAACTACAGACCTGATGAATTCATTAATTCAGCTTCTAATAGTAACCAGGACTGACTGAGGAGCATTTTTGACCCTCAGATCATTAGGAGATTACAACATCCTCAAACAGTGCTGATCATGGGGAACACTGAACAGTCTCCCATAGAAGGCACATCAGTGGCTTCTTGCACGAGGGCTCCTCATTCTTCTGAGGCTCTGTAGCCATAAGAAGTTTATGGATATTCTGTGGTCCAAGGCCTAAATTCCACACTGTAGTCTAAGAACACCTGTTCTTGCTACCTATTGCCAGACCAAGTAGAGCTAGAAAAATCCAGAAGGATCTAGCTGTTCTAAGTAGAGATTGTGGAGACTTTTCTGTAGTCTTCCATTTCTGCAAAATCATGTCCATATTTCACCTATTCCTCAAAGGCATTCTGTTTTCACGATGAATGAGATTTCACCTTCTTTCCTGTTGTTTTAAAGGAGGAAAGGACGTCAGATACTTGCTCAATTTAGCCAGCTTAATCTCGTTTTTGGTTGTGGGTGTGTTTGCCCATCCTGAGCTTGAACTTAGGGGATGGGCACTGTCCCTGAGCATTTGTGTTCAGGGTTAGCACTCTACCACTTGAGCCACAGCTCCACTTTTGGATTTTCTTTAGTAGCTAATTGAAGACTAGAGTCTCATAGGCTTTTCTGCCAGTGCTGGCTTTCAACCTCAATCCTCAAATCTCAGCTTCCTGAGTAGCTAAGATTGTAGATGTGAGCCACTGGCACCCAACTTCACTTATTTTTTTAAGCTGGTCCTTATTTCCCTATGTTTAGTGGTCAGCCTATGCCTACTTAAAACTGCTAGTACTGCTAGACTGCAGTTCTGCCACTCAGGAGATGGTTTATGTATTTGTTTCAGTCACTCCTTAAGTGTTGCTAGTGAAGTATAAAGAAAACAGATTATGGAGTTCAGAGTTCTCCTGAGTTGGCTCTTAGCAAGAAGAACTGGACATGTACACAAGTGTATAATGAATAGGAAATAACTACTTTGGCTTGAAATGCCAAATTCACAACAGGACTTAGGCACTTTAGAAGGTGATAGGAGAAACAAAAAATTGGTCCTTTTGCTATTTTTTTTGATGAAGTGTATGGAATGCACAGTGGGAAAAAATTCCAAAAATTCACTCAAAAAACATGCAGGTAAGAACTATCAAAGGTTTCCACAAAATTAGGATCAAATGGTAAGCATACACACCAGTGTGTGTATGTATACACTGAAAGCACTTAATCTGCATTCAAGTGTACACACACATCCATTATACATTGAAGATCTGGATACAACACCATGTAACTCTTTTTGCTACCTGATACATTTTGAGGAATACATAGGTAAACTCTTCATTTATTCTAGTTACCTTCATAGTAAGCATTTAATAGTCTTTTTTGAAACCGATCTAAAATTTAAGAAAAAAATTATGAATTTAGCTTTTATTCAAAATTAAATAAGCAAAAGCAAAAATTTTAAGAAACTTTTACAAAGTACTTACATAAAAGAAAGTTAATAGGGAGAGTCACAAGTTTGCAACAAATAATTACAAAAGTATCTAGGGCAGCATGAGTACATACCATGCCACAGCATGGTGACCTAATTGTGATATGAATAAGGCATAACTAACATCTGCACCAAGACCAGAATTAATAAAATAAAACAAACTGTAAGAGCTTAGTTCTACATTAAGCTTCTTTTCTTCCCTCAGATCCTTAGTGAGTTTATACTATGTAATTTTTTTAAACAAACACATTATGTCAAACTATAAATTACATAGATGGGCAGTTAATGCGAGAAGCCCCTACAAATGTACAAGCTAACTGCTACTGAATCAAGTTCTCCACTTACCTTTATGTACAATTAATGTAAACCATATTTTCACAGTTTTAAGTGTTATATGAATAGATGCACAGTACCATGTCAGGTTTGCAATTGTTCCTGAAAACTGGCTCTAGGTTTTTGCATCCAATGTCTGCGGAGCACTGGGATGCAAGTATTTACATAAACAAGAAACTGTGTCATAGTCAATGGTCAAGACAGTTCAGCAAGAGCAGTATTTCCAACAAAAAAATGACACTCGGTACCATATTTTACATACTTGTGCAAATAAAAGCATTAGGACAGATAAATCTGAGGCAAATTCAATTTGCAAAAACTTGTATCGCTACTGTTGTAAACATGGGCAATAAATGGCCCTCAGCAAGTTCTGCTCTCTATGGCTTTTTTTTTTTCTTTTAAAATTTTAAAGCCAGAGAAAAAGCACACATACTACTCACACATGTGAACGCACACGTGCACACGCATACACACACACACAACCACACATACACACACACACACTACATACATACACAAAGCATTTAGTTCATTTTAAGAGTATGATACATAGTGCAACTTCATCACAATGTAGAGGTTTGACACACATTCAGTGTGTGTTTTACTGTGCAAGTTATTAGTGGTCTAAATCCTAGTTGAAGGTATTCATTTGCAGATCCAAGATTCAGGAGGTTGAAGGAAACAAAAAACCATTTCATTACATTTCTTAAACCAGCACTGGATGTGCAAAGGCAGCGGATAATCTGGCCATCAACACAGCCAGATCAGAGTAACTTTAAGATCCAAGCACAGTTACTTCGATTGGTCTCTAGAAAAATAGGTCAGTATATGCTGTATCTTCGTCAACCGCTCCTCCAAAGACTTCATTGACAACACTGACAGCTGATATCGAGGGTCTACGGGAAGAACAGCAAGAAGCCACCAACACCAAGCAGGTCCATTAGGGGTTGCCTACAAGTTAAAACAAAAAACAAAAACCTACTATTTATGTAACAATAACAAACCACTAAAGAGCTACTTATACTGAGCACTGTACTACATGCCAAGTGCTGTCTCAAATTCCCTTAACAATCATGTAAGGCAGGCTATTATTACACCAGACATAAATAGGGAAGCTGAAGCTGACAAATATAAGCTACGTGTCTGTGACTCCACAGTCAGTACTTGTTCCTCTCTATTGCACTGCCTTAGGGCATGGTTTCTCCGCCTCAGGCCACTGACATTTGAAGCAGACAATCCTTTGTGTTGAGAGGCTGTTCTGTTCATAGTAGTACATTTAGCAGCATCTCTATTCATTAGATGCCAATGGCATCACCCCAGCTGTGATAGAAGTATCTCCAGATAGTGTCAAATGTCCCTTGGGAGCAAAATTGTCCCTGACTGAACAGTTTCCTTTATTATTTAACTTTAAAGTTGTGGACACCTAAATTTTTTTTAATATCAAAAAAATTCTGTGAGATCCTACAAAAAAAAAAGAGAAAAGAAAAAAGTCATGGCTTTCAGTTTAGTTGGAAACATAAACACATCTCCAGTAAATACTTTTGTCTGGTGTTGCAAGGGCTGACTAATGCCAATGCAAAGATACGAATTTACATAAAAGGATTTATAAGCTGCCTTTACTGTTCAGTGAATTATTTTTACTGGACCTGAACATGAAGCCTCAGAATGACAATAGAGAACAGTACTGAATTCAATAAGCTCCCTCTAGATCCAAATTTAATTTCTACATCCGTATAGTGTCCATTTTCAAGTAATCATCCCTACCAGTCCTTAGCATTCCAGACATCAAAAACTACATTTCCCAGAATCTCTTCCTCCCTGTGTCTCCAGGTTAGGCTTAGTCAAAGAGATGCATTCTTGGTGTGGTACAGAGACTGGAAAAGAGGTGGTCATTCTCTAGATACTGATCCAAAGTGTGGGCAGCTGCTTTCTGGAGAATTCTTGGACACCATATGCTCCACATGTGCTTTGTGGTGCGGTGCCCCTGACCTCCACTCTTCCAGGTCTCCAACTGCTATATAAACTCTACAATCTACAGTAGACCCTTCATTCCTGTATGTGTGGTCAATGTTTTTGTTTTTAGTTGCCTCAATCAGTTTTACAGATAGCAACATCTCATTTTTAATCCTTTATCTCTTCTTCAGAAAAGCCTCAGGGAAGAACTTTCCCCTTTCTTGTCTCCCTTTCATAAGCACCGCAGATGGAAGCTACTTCCATCCTCTGCCTTATGTATGTAAACTGTAGTGTGTACTGCTGCTCAGAGAATATCGCTATGGTTTAAAAACAGGGTCAAAGGAAATATTATACAAAGGAAAATGAAAGAAGAAAATGTAGAAGTTCTTAATCCAAGCTTACACAAAAGTGAAACTTTTAAAAGCAATATAGTCATCCTACCTGAAGGTTTTCCTCTCTCTCAGGCATTGATCCAAAGTGCTGAAGGATTTGGCTTCGAAATCTGTCTCTTAAATTCTGAAACCAGCTACAGGCTTGAAAGTACACCAAATCATGAAGCTCTCGCAGGGTCTTTATCTCATCTCCATTCTCAACCTAGAAAAACAACAATTAATAAGATGTCAGTATTTAATTTGCGTATTTCACCAACCCTGTAGAAATGCAAAAGTTATCAAAAAACAGAGGAGCTAGATGTGATGGAATATACCTGCAATCCCAGCATTCAAAAGGCTGAGGTAAAAGAATAAAGAGTTCAAGAATATCTTGGCTACATTTTTAAAAAAGTCTCAAAAGCTCTTTTAAAAAGGAAAGAAAAAAACAAGGGAATACCTATTTCAGGGCTGGATTATCAGAATACTGTTCTCAGGCTGTAAAATCATATATTTCTACCTTACGAAGTGCTAATGGAACCATCTGAAAAAAAGCAATGTCTGACTTCTACCAAACCCTGCTCACTTAGCAATATCGTATATCACAGAACCGATTGACAGTTTCCAAGGGAGGAGAGTGAGTTCTGGTTCAAAGGTTTACACAAATTTGGGTTCCTTCGGTTTTTTAAAGTGTATGTGTGTGTGCGCTCACGCACGCGTGCACATGTGCACACGAGCATACATACACACACACACACTAACCAGAAAAAGACAGCTGCCACAAATAAAAGGAGAAAATGAAGGGGAGAGTGCAAACCATATACAGAAACTAGATACAGGAGAAGGATACACATAAATTACTATTTTTACAAGGGAATTGGGCCAAAACACAAAAACCAGCAAATAACTTGGGATAAAAGACAGTAAATCATAAGATGGAGAATATATTACTTGATGTTCAACTTCTCCTACAGGAGAAGTTAAATACATTTGTCTTCTCTTCCAAGATATAGGAGTCTCACAGAACACATGTGGAATAGCTAAGTCATCCATCTAAATATCGATTCTTTCAACACAAAACACTTATGTACCATTTGCTATGTCCCAGGTAGTGCACATCACATTAACTCATCTGAGCAAATAGCAGGCTGACTCAGCCTTGCATACTTCAAGGATGACTAATACAAAAACAGCAAAGTAACTGAATAGATCTTATAAAGTTAAAGGTTAAGACTATATCACAAAGAGACAAAAGAACACATATTTTACATTTAGAAAAAGTGAAAAAAAATTTCAAAGCATTTTCATTTTACATTATTTAATAACCCAAGGTGCCTGACACCAGTGGCACATACAGGTGATCCTACTCAGGAAGAGTAGCAATCTGAGGATCTCAATTCAAACCTAGCCTGGGCAGAAAGGTCTATGAGCCTCTTGTCTCTAATTCATCAGCAAAATTAATAAATGAATCAATAATAAAAAAAAGAAAGAAAGAAAAGAGGTGTGGTTCAAAGGGTGAGTGCCAGCTTTGAGTACAAAAAGCAGAATAAGAGTTCAAGGCCCTCTGAGTTCAAGCCATGGATACCAAAAACAAACACAAACAACCCCCACCCACTGAACTGTACATTTGAAATTTTTTAAAACAGTAAATTTTGCTATATGTATTTTATCAAAAGAAAAAAATTTTAAAAGACAGTGGAAAGCTATAAAACAACTGAAGACTTCTGGTCATGGAATGTCTATGCAAGATTTAATCACCAGCTAAAATACATGGGATTTGATATGAACAACACACTTCAAACTTGTAACTTGTTAAATCTGTTTTTATACATCCTTATAAAATTCATGATTCAGAAGGGAACCTTACTGCATTGTTGGTGGAGTGTAAACTTGTCCAACCACTTTGGAAAGTAGTATGGAGGTTCCTCAAAAGACTCCACATAGAGCTCCCCTATGACCCAGCAATCCCACTTTTGGGCATTTACTCAAATGATCACAAACAAGACCATACTAAAGCTACCAGCACAACTATGTTTATTGCAGCATTATTTACCATAGCTAAGATATGGAACCAACCCAGCTGCTCCTCAGTAGATGAATGGATCAAGAAAATGTGGTATATATATATACACAATGGAATACTATGCCTCCATCAGAAAGAATGACATTGCCCCATTTGTTAGGAAATGGAAAGATTTGGAAAAATTATATTAAGTGAAGTAAGCCAGGCCCAAAGAAACCTAGGTCCCATGGTTTCCCTTATTTGCAATAACTAGTATATGTCTGAGTCAAGCAGAAAAGGAAAAGGTCAGATAAGTTGATGTTTGGTGAAATGAACCCCAAGATAAGTATTCAAATGTTTTTTTCTTTCATGTGATTGTTTTTATGTATAAGATGATTTCTTTGTGGCTTTGTGTGTCCCTCTCCCACGGTATAACCCCTGCTTTCACTGTATTTGATGTTGGTATAATTTGTGGAGGGGAAGGGAAAAAACAAATCATTTAAATAGGGAAAAACAAATCGTTTAAATAGGGATACAGGTGGACCCATTGCAATAATGAGATTTATAAGTCGTTATGATGAAAAACGAACTTTACAACTTTGGGGGGGGTAGTGTGGGAGATGGGAAGGGATGGGAAGGGGAAACAAAGGAGGAGGCAACAATACTTGATAAGAAATGTACTCATTATCTTGCCCATGTAATTGTAACCCCTCTATACGGTATTTTCACAATTAAAAAAAAAAAAGACATGATAAGAATTTTAAGTCTCAGGAAGAAACAGAGCCAGCAGAGAAACAGAAATTTTAAAAGCAATTTTTTTGTTGTTGTTAGTAGTGGGGCTTCAACTCTGGGCCTAGGTGCTATCCTTGAGCTCTTCAGTTCAAGGCGAGCGCTCTACCACTTGAGCCACAATACCACTTCTGGTTTTCTGGTGGTTAATTGGAGATAAAGGACTTTCCTGCCTGGGCTGGCTTTGAACCTTGATCCTTAGATCTTAGCCTCCCGAGGAGCTAGTATTACAGGTGTGAGCCACTGGCACCAGGCTAAAATCACATTTTTTAAGATTTAAAACTTTACTCCAACAATAAAACAGAATTTGAAATTCCATTAGCAATCACCGAATATAAAACGGCAATAATGATAAAAAAGGCTTTCATATAAAAAACACGAGAAGCTTTTCCAGAAAAGAAAATCATTGTAGATGATTCAATTATAAGAAAAAAAAAATACTAGATATTCCTAAAACTACAAAGAGAACTGCTTTTAAAACAAAGAGAACTGCTTTCAATCTGCTACTCTATTGTCTGGGATATTTATATACATTTAGCTACATACTCAAGGGATTTTGCCACCACATCCAATTCATGACAATGAAAACTTACCTAAATTAGAATAGGGTTCTTAGTTCTACAATGCAACATTTCCTTTAGCAATTATTCCTCTAACCAAGAATGCTTAGATTGTACCAATGCAAAGATTGTACCAATCAACTAAAAATTTCAATTCATACTTTTATCCTATTGCAGAGTAAATTATTCCAGTGTCATCTTTATAAGACAGGACAGGTAATATCATACCACTAAATATAGTGGCAACCTAATATAGGGATATAGCACAGAACCTACAAGTTTGAGAGTTGGCTCAAAACCATCTTTATTATACTACACAAAATCTTAGGCAAATTAATACCTCTAGATTGTATTTTCCTCATCTGCTGATTTGGCACTGTGTGAATTCAATGAGCTAATGTTTGTGAGAATACCTAATACCAATGTTCAACAAATGTTAAGTGAAACAAAGAACCTAAATATATCAATAAACAAGTGATAATTAAAGAGTGATGTTTTTATAATGACTTTCACAAAAAAATTGCCTTCGATTTGAAATTTAAATATCACAATCTTCTTTCTGAACTTCAACTAACTAGTTGGTAAGTAGGTGATGGAAACATCAAAAGGGCCACACCTAACCAACCCTTTTCAATTCTCACCAAAACCCTGCTCAGCAAAGATATTATCAACACATATGCACACTGACAGGCTTGATCTACGATACTCTATAATTTTAACACAGCATCCACTAAAATTAATTTTGGCATAGAAACAATCTTAATATACAGAACAATTCTTAAAGTATTTTGTGTTACCTGTACTTCAGATTACAGTCTACTAATTAAACCAGCTTTGATTATAAATAAATAACATAAGGCAGAGATGAGCAATATTAGGTGAACTAGAAGTTCATCTAAGTCAGTTGCATTAAGTGACTACTATCCTAATGTAGTCTAGGCTGGTACCTTCTAAAAATGAATGGCTATAGGGTCTAGTCTCTCAAGTTAAGCTGATTCAAAAATAAGGTGGAAGGTAACTGGAGTGAAGTTTCCTAAGTGGTAACGATAAGAGTCTCTGATAGGAAGAATTGGTTCATAAACCTAGGAGATACCAGCCCATATCCATGGACCAGCCCCTGGAAAACCACAGCCAGAATAGGTGAACACTTCCAATACCTTAACATCTTCCAGATACTCAATGTCTGCAGTGCAATATCCATCTTTCATTCCTCTTTTTAAAACTCTAAAACGCTTTCCTCCAACTGTATCAACCACTGACCTTCCATCAGGAAGGAAATGAACATTTCTAATTTGTAACATGCATCCATAATCTGCAAAACTAAAAGAAAAACAAGTCTGATTAGTATCAAAGTACAAGCATGCAACTTTCCCTATTTAAAGCAAGTTCTTATATAAATGTTATTTAAGTATACAAAAAACATACCCATTTTGTGTATCACTGACACACATCCCAAATTGCTTGGTTCCAGTCTGTATACTTCTTCGAATCATCAACCTGTATCTCGGCTCAAATACATGAAGAGGGCAAGGCACAGTGGGGTAGGCCATAGTACAAACAAATATTGGAACATTCTTGGTCAAGCTGAAGGAAAAGAAATTTCACTGCTATAGATCAAAGCATCCAACAAAAATAAGAAAAGTTCATAGTTGTGATGTTAATGTAAAAAGAAAAATCAATTCTCATAAAATGACTCTTCTTCATGAACAAGAATCTTCTTCATTAAGTTCACACTGATGCAATACTAATACTAAAATTTGCTTGTGATCCTCATTTAAAAGGCTTGCATTTTCAGGTACCAAGTTACCATAATAAATTATAAAAAAAGAAATTATTATGTAATTAATATTTTTTCATTTAATCTTTTTATTAGCATCAATTAGTTATATAAGGAAGTTTATATTAAAAAAATAAGACAGAATTAATACCTCATCCTCATAATAGTGATATCTTACTCTTAAATAACAGTAAGGACAAACATGAGTTCCTGCAATGGACAAAAATTCTCAGGCATTAAGAAACATTTTTTTCCAGATAACTAAAATGATGCGATACTTCTCACTGCCAGATGGGGAGATGGTAAGAGAATGATAAAGGCAGGGCCCAGTTCTGGCAAGGGTATGTGGGGACAGTCTGAAGAAAGTACATGTAATTGGCTCTATATATCACGACTCTTATGTTGGGGGTAGGAAATATTCATGTACTTGGAACCAATTGGCTTCTTTTTAGAAATTAATGTCCAAGAACCGTACATCGCAATGTAGCAATAATTTTAGTAGCCAAAACTTTGAAACAAAAAGAGGAATATGACCTACAATGGAATATGTTTGCTTTCCTCTGAAAGACATGCATGACACTGATTTAGAAAAACTGGGTAGTAAAGGGAAGAGAAGGTAATGAAATAATACTATCAGTAGGATGGCATTTTTGTTTTAAAATGTATTCATCCAAACCTGGAGAAAGGATATGTGCCAAAATGCCACTTGGGTTATATATGAAAGCATTCTCATTTTCCAGTTTTTCTGCAAACAACTATTAATTACTTAGCAAATATTAATACAAACATGTTTAAGATACATGCTTAAAAATGCCCCCATTAAGAAGCAGCAGCGTTCTCTCATTTCTTTCCATCATTCTAGGCTCCCTATGTGATAGGACTTCACTTCTCCTCACTTTTGCCATTTCTAGAGCATTACTATACCTGGTTATATTATTTTATTTCAGATTCTTAAATATACCTTCAGCTTTCTTACATCTAGCTTTTTCAGCGTGGGTCACAAAGGATCTGGACCTCACGCCAGAAGATTTTCTATAATAAAACCACAGAATGATCAATTCTGTGGGAAGACAAATCACCAGCAATTCCATTAAAGGAAAATAAAAATCTTTTTTCTCTGGAAGGCCACTAGTCTTCTGAAGACATTTCATGATTACACATGGAAGATTAATCTACAATTTCTTTCTTAGAGAAATACAAGATGTTCAAATTTTTTTAATAATAGGAGCAAAAAGTCACTAAACAGAAACAAGTAAGATTGTTATTCTTCAGCATTTTCAGTAAAAGTGTTAAGAAACGTAAACCTGTGAAAGAAATTCCAAGATCCATGTGATTGTTGAAAGAGAGAAGGACATTTAAAGAAGAGTAGGAAAGCACAAAGAAAGAGTTCAGGACAAGCGAAGTCAGGAAAACAGACCCACCATGATCAGCATTGGTCCCTGTAAGTGTTATTTCTACTAAATCCAGTCATGTCTGTCTGTTTGTGTTACACTAACTCAGTTTTGCTACCAGGCAGGATCTTAACTGAGGTCATTCTTCACAATTTCAGTCTTCAGCTCCCTTCCAAATCTCCAGTTGGCTAAAAATCACTTGCTAAAATAAAATAGGTGGTTTGCTCTCAACCTTCTTTCTGCTCTGCCATGACACACAGAAGAGCTGTTGTCATCATCCATACTTTCTGTTCCACCTCTCTACTCTTATTCTATTCCCTAAGGTCACTGCAGAAAATTCATCCTCTGCTTTAAATACAGTTTTGGCCCAGGGAGCTAAGTCAGTAACTCCCCAGAGATCACCTGGAAACTACCTACTGAACTTTGGTAATACGAACATGTTTAAGGACATGTCTGTTGAGGACAGGAAAAGCTAACCAGTAGTATTTAAAATTCACTAGATTATTGAGGTGACAGGTTCAGCTTAGTGAGAAAGTTTCTCTTCACTATTTTCAATGGTAATATTTCATAATTTGATTAGTTTTTTATGAGAAGAAACTTACTGTGAGAGTTCAGCAGTTTCTTCATCATATATTTTTTTTCTCTCAGACAGTTCATCAGGCAGATACTTCACTATTAATTCTTCCAACAGTTGTGTGACACAGTACCTCCTATCTGCTAGATACTAAAAGACAATATTATTTTACATTCCAGTAGAAGTTTTCCTATAGTATAAAACAGGTAAAACAGTTTAACTGATATACTTAAGCCTTTATGACATACTTGAACAGTTGATTCTAAATAAATTTAATTAATGAAGGGGGTTATTACAATAGATGATGATATAGACGTAAACCTGTCTGAGGTTCTGTTTCAGAACAGTAAAGACACATGTTTACAACTTGAGCAGGGCCTTATATGTGATACTTCTTTTTTGCTATTACCACAAATCCTTCAGTGGTAACAGTCAGTCCTGCACCTGTCATCTCCCACAACGAAGGACAATTTCCACTTGATAGCTCAAGGGATTAAGATTATCATTGTAACAGAGAGACAAAAGAATAAGGATGAAGAAAATAATGCATTTGCTTTATTTAAGAAAATCAAGGCAATGTGTTGTTTGGCTCCTATTTTTCAAAGGCAAAGTCTATAAATTTTTGTTTGTTTGGAACTTGGGATCCTCCTGGCTCAGCTGGCTAAGCCTTAGCAGCTATATGTCACCATACTCAGTTTTTTGTTTTGTTTTGTTTTTAAAGGTAATTTTCCTTTTAGGTTTTCCTTCCAATGCTACTATCACTTAGGCTTTATGAAAATACTGCTATTGCTTCTCTTGTATGATCCATCAGGACTCTACATAAGATGACCAGTTAGTGCTACTCCCCCTAAGTACTCTGATAAAATTGCTATACATGTGCATTTTTGTGTCATTCTCTATTTCAGCTGATACTCATGCCTAGGCAACACATATCTATCCTCCAAGGTCTGGCTCCAATTTTACTTTTTTCATAGAGCCCTTTTTTTTTAGTTACTCCATATTTTACCATTTTATCACAGAAAAGACACTATCCCTTGTGTAGTACTATATGGATATATTATATGTAATTAAACTAAAATCTGCTTATAGTCATGACTAGGTCAGAGTATGTACCTAGACGCCTAATACACATTTGTTAAATACAATAATAAGGAAAGTCTTGGGAAAATAAAAATCATAGAACACAGAGAAGCCATCCTTTAATCTGTAGAAGCCAACAAAAAAATAAGTGTTTTGTCAATATACAATGAAGGGTTTAGGGAATGCGAACGTTAGGAAAAGTGGTTATCCAAGTGTTTTTCAAACCTGAATGATTCAAGGCTTGCTAAAATATGAATTACTGAACTCCACTCCCTGAGCTTCTCATTTAGTGGATCTGGAGAGAGATCTGACAAGTTCTTAGGCAACACTGATGCTCAGATGGCCAGGAGAACATATTTTAAGAACTACTGGTCTATAAAATACAACCTTGAGCAGATAATATGTATACAACAGTTTATCGTAAGATTAGCCAACTTACGGACATTATAAAAAGCAGTCCTCTTACCTTTTTAAAATAAAATGTAATACCCATGTAATTAAAATCGACGAAGCATGACCTAAATTTTTACATTACTGATAGGAGTCTAAATCTGCGTAACATCTGTAGGAGGCAAAGCAATCTGGGAAGTTACTTTAAGAGCCTCAGATATATACAACCTTTGATCTAGTAATTTATCTTCCAGAAAGTTAATTAAGGAAATAGTAAAAAAATTAGGGAATGGTTACAAACACTAAAGTGTTGTGCACAAAAGCTTTAAATATTTTTTATAAAAAAAAAAAAATAAGAGAAGAAGATCCAGGCATTGGTGGCTTACACCCGTAATCCTAACTACTCAGGAGGCTGAGCTCTGAGGATCATGGTCCAAAGCCAGCCCAGGCAGAAAAGTCCATCTTATCTACAATTAACTACCAGAAAACTGGAAGTAGTGCTGTGGCTCAAAGTGGTAGAGCACTAAGCTGGGTGCCAGTGGCTCAAGCCTATAATCCTAGCTAATCAGGAGGCTGAGATCTGAGGATCACAGTTCAAAGCCAGCCCAGGCAAGTAAGTCCATGACTCTTGTCTCCAATAAACCACCAAAATCCGGAAGTGGCACTGTGGCTCAGGTGGTAGAGCGCTAGCCTTGTGCTGAAGAGCGCAGGGACAGCGCCCAGGCCCAGAGTTCAAGCCCTAGGACCGACAAAAAGAAAAAAAAAAGTGGTAGAGCACTAGCCTTGAGCTGAAGAGCTTAAGGGACAGTGCAGAGGCCCAGAGTTAAAACCCCACAACCGACAATAAAGAAAAGAAAACTTATACACTCAGTAACAGAGAATTATTATTATTCTGTTCTAAAAAATCATCTTTAAAATACATTTAAATAAAAAAGTAGAAACAATGCAAAACTGTTGAGTACATCGAACATTATTTTAAAGTTGTATGATATATAATATATACAATATTAATATATGTAAGTATATAGATAAAATATAAACTAATATGTATTTATATATTATATATTAATACATATACATACAATACTTATATGTGCAACATATATTGCATATAGTTGATTCTGATTTTACAAATGGTATTATATAGGATCTCTTCCATGTTAAAAATGGGATAAGCATTCTTAAACCCACTAACTAAATGCAATATATTCTATGTTCTATTTTCAAATAATACTTAGTATGCTTTTCTTCAACTGTTTTTTAAGAAAAAGTATCTCTAAATGAAAGAATGTAGTTAATAGTTAATCTGGAACAAAATCATAAGTACACTATAGAGTTATCTAAAAAAGGTGGAAAAATAATGTTTATAATACTCGGTGAAAAATGTCATTGACAATCTCCTTAAGAGTAGTGTTATGTTAGGTTTCCTGACATTGAAAACATTTTGAAAATGATTTTGTTTTACACATCAGGTTGGCATATCATATATCAAATATAACAATATTAAATGTTATTATGTTAGTTATAGAGCTGTGTTTTCTCTATAGGAAATAACGGAATATTCAAAATGTTTTTTTATTTACATTCGAAAAGCCCTTTTTTTGTTTTGTTTTGTTTTCTGTTGGTCATGGGCCTGGGCGCTGTCCCTCAGCTCAGCCACAGCACCACTTCCGGTTTTCTGGTGGCTTATTGGAGGTAAGCATCTCATAGACTTTCCTGCCCGGGCTGGCCTTGAACCTTGATCCTCAGCTCTCAGCCTCCTGAGTAGCTAAGAGTATAGGAGTGAACAATCGGCACCCGGCCAAGCCCTTCTTTCTTTAAACAATGCTGTCAATTGCCACAGACAAAACTATGTTGAAGCTGCCACTCAGTATCACAAGGCTGGAGCTACATGTGGATCATCTCCAGGTATGACTGAAGGGGTACTGTCCTCAGATTCCCTATTAGTACTGATCACTGACTTCAAGATAAGGAATATGGGGCTGGGAAGGTGGCTCAATGGTAGAGCGCTTGCCTTGCATGCCTGAGGCCCTGGGTTCGATTCCTCAGCACCACATAAGCAAAAAGAAAAAAGCCGGAAGTGGCGCTGTAGCTCAAGTGGTAGAGCGCTAGCCTTGAGCTGAAGAGCTGAGGGACAGCGCCCAGGCCCAGAGTTCAGGCTCCACGACCGGACCCCCAAAAAAAAAAAAAAAGATAAGGAATATGGGAAGCTGTGACCCCTTTCTTCTTTCTAGCCTACCACTTTCTAGAGCTACACTGAACAGAGTAGTAAATGGTGGCTCCTAAATTAAAGTTAACAAAATTAAATCACATTTCCTCAGTCACACTAAGCCGCAAATTATGTGCTTAAAGTCACATGTGGCTAGTTGGTTCCATACAAAATAAAGCATTTTTATTAGAGCAGGGGGTTTGACGAGACAGTTTGTTGAGATGTTAAGGAAGCTGGAACAGGTCTCACATCTTGCTTGGTATTGAGGGCCAATGGCAGTACAGTATGGTTGTCCAAACAGGGTCATCATTAAACCTGAACCTATCCCTGAACAAGTAACTGACTCTCTCTCTCTTTGTCTGTCTGTCTCTCTCTCTCTTTCTCTCTCCCTCCCTCCCTCCTTCCCTGCAAAGTAGAAGGTGTTTAGTATCTAGAACCCACCACTTTTCTCCAGTATTACTGAATGTATGTAACTCATTTTAAACATGATAATCATTAAATCGATAGCTGGACAGAAACCACACCATGCTTGAATGAACTTGAACCAAATAAGCAGATACTTAATACAAATATTTACCTCTTTTAAGCTTTCTTTACAAAGTGGACAATATGGTGCATGATCTAAACATCGCTCAAGACAATTCTTACAGAATGAATGTCCACAAGGGGTTGTTACTGGCTCAAAAAACAACCTGAAATCAAAATACATGTTAGTTTTCACATTAAACTATACACTGGAAAAGCTTCAATTAACAATGGAACTGTTACATAAAATCTCTACTTAGAAGAGGAACAGTGGTGGATGAAAAAGGAGAGAAGTGGCAGTGATACAACTAACTATTCTCTGCTGAACCAATGTGAAGTTCTCTATCAACAAAGGTACCTTGCTCAGGCCTAGAGCCTCACTAATACAAACACCACTGGATAGGATGGCCAATCCAAACTGAGACACATAACCAATGTAAAAAAAAATAACAAAAAAACCACAGATTTCAAAGGCTTAGTGCAAAAATAAACAAAGAAAAGTGTCTCTAATAACTGCTAGCTTTTGTTTAGCCTCTAGATTGCCATTTTATCAACTTAAAAATGGCTCTTAGTAGTACAAAAGTTTTACTAAATAAATTTATTTATAATAGGAATCCAGGCAGGTGTGGTATCACACATCTATAATCTCAGCATTTGGGAGGTAGAAGCAGAAGGGCCATGAATTGAAGGCTAGTCTGGGGTACACAGTAAGATAATGTCTTAAAAGCAAAATAAAGGGTCTGGGAATGTAGCCTCGTGGTAGAATGCTTGCCTAGCATGCATGAAACCCTGGGTTCGATTCCTCAGTACCACATAAACAGAAAAAGCTGGAAGTGCGTTGTGGTTCAAGTGGTAGAGTGTTAGCCTTTAGCAAATGAAGCTCAGGGACAGTGCCCAGGCCCTGAATTCAAGCCCCAGGACTGGCAAAAACAAAATAAATATTACCAATGAATTCTAAAGAGCTCTTAGGCTTAATATTAGATGTGAATCACAATGCGGAAAAACTGGTTTACTTGTTAATTATTTCCTGAAACATAGTATTTCTGCTTTCCTTAGAAATATTATTAGATTTATAGGTACTTTAGAATTTGTTTGGTCTAATCTCATTTCACAGATTAAGAAACCCAGGCTCAGAATTAAAAGAATTGCTCAGGAATATAGTGAGTTTCTTCTAGCCTAGTGTGACCGTTAGAACCAAACCTCCAGACTCTTCATGAAGCTTTAATTCTACCACTTCATGTAAATGCTCTTTTAGAGTTTAGAATATTTACTCTTTTAGAATTGCTTTGTAGTGGTAGTAGACATAGAGGATAAACCAAGGAAGTACACTGGAAGTACAGGTAGTGATTGGTACATGCCTAACACATATTGATCTTGAAGGCTACATACAAGAAGCAGCTATACAAAATTTCCATATTTCACCCTGCTTAGTTATAAAACAGAATGGAAAGGCTGCCACTACCAGGCTTTAGCTCAAATCGGCTGGAGTGACTAAAAGTTACCTCTGGGTCATTAGCATGTCATTTTAACTTTGTAATTGCAGATATCCACCCATCCTCTATCCAAAAGCCTTATGGGCTTTTCTTAGGGGTGGTGGGTAATGGCATACACAGAATAATTTGTTATCTAATAAGGGAAATGTCAATTAAAGGAGAAGAAATGCACTAAGAAGCAGAGAAGAGGAAGAAATCCCAAGTTTTCTCTTATACCAATATAAAGGCTGGGCCTCTGAGAAGTTGGGTATTCCTTAACCTGTACTCTCTCACACATGTGTAATGTAATCCTACTTTTCTTAATAAACATTGGCACTGCTTTCACTATTTTTCTTATCTAACTTTCATAACTCTTGCAGAGATACAAGAATTGAGGCTCCGATCAAAATTCCAGTAAAAGCATCAAAGGTAATTCTGCATAACAGAATACTTTTCTAAAGTTACTTTAAAAAGATTTCATAGTTAATTTAAAATGCAAACAAGATAGAGTCATTCATGTGTATGTAAAATTTGTAATTAGAATTATTATCTAAGTCTAAAATCCTGCATCTATCCAAGTTTCAATAATAGCATCTATTCATTTCATAGGTCCTTACAACTTCCTGGATTCTTTTTATACTTAAGCCATTGTATGTTCTTAATTCCCCAAGATACTATGCAAATACGGACACCACTTTTTAAACAAGGAAAATGGAGGCTCAGAGACTCAATTATTTGCCCAAGGCATTAATGGTTAAGCCTAGAACTAAAGCTCTTATCTTCTGATATTTATTCCAGTATTGTTACTTTATATTGTCTATCATTACCTTCATCAACACTGTACTATATTTACATTAATATACAATTCTTCTAGGAAAGGGTATACACTTACCTCATGCAGAGAGAGCACTCAAAATCTGAGGCATCTATTAATTCTTCAGGGATGTCACTATAAGCTAATGCAAACATACAGACTTCATTGGGAGCTTCTATTCAAATAAACAGAATGAGTTAGCTTTTTTAGGAAAGAGTTTAAAGGCCATTTCAAATAGTTAAGTTTAATTAAAGGAAATTTAAGTGAAAATTTTTACCTCCTTGTTTTTTGAGCTTATTTTTTCCATCTTCATTTATTATCACATCCTGTTCTAAGAGGGACAACTTCCTTTTCAGTAGCACACCTTTTTCCTGGGCAGAAAGTAAAGGTTCTGAGGACACCCTTTTCAAACCATCCCCTCTAACAGGCATTTCTGTTAAATTTATAGCCTGTACGGACTGAGTACGATTTAAGCTTCCTTTGACAGTCTCTGAAGGATCCTCTGGTTCTTCATTCTATACAAACACAATGAGAAAATATAATTATTTCTTTACTATCCTTCATTCTTTTCACTAAGAATCAAACTGAAATTAAACTTCAATTCCTTGTATTCAGTTGAATGTTTATATAAGAACACTCACATTTAATTCCATAACCCTGACAAGTAAATTATTTTTACTAGCATTTATATAACCCTAGATATCAGGCTGACTTATGCTATAGATGATGTTTAAAGCAGTTATGAAAGTACAGCCATGTATACACAGAATGAACTATAATAAATAAAATAATTTACATATTCTAAGAGAATGAAATTTTTATGGCAGCTAAGTGATCTAAAATTGTAATTAATGGGTAAATACATATGAAGTTCGTTATAGAAGTGGAAGTATGGCCAAGTAGTAAAGAGCCAGCTATGCAGGAAAAAGCTGAGAGTGTGAGACCCTGAGGTCAAATCCTAGTCAAACCCCCCTCCAACCCAAGAGAGAAAGTTCCACTACAGACAAAATCCTATTAAGACAACTAGACAAGAAGAGCTTAAATAGCTTCTATTGCTTGAAACTAGGAGAATAAACATCTTCATTTATAGAAAAACAAAAGAGCTTACCTGTTTTAAGCTAATGTCACTAGGAGAGTGAGATGCTTGAATTACTGAAGAAAAATTAGAAGGTCTATTTTTAATCCATGATAAAGAACTCCAGGAAGATTCTTTCAGGCCTTCTTTTAAGTTTTCAGGCAATAATAAATCACATAAAATCTGTTAGAAATATAAAAACAATAGGACACAAATAATATCAGGTTAAGAATAGTGATATAATTTTACTTAATAATTAAGAATTTTCAGGAAGTCTAAAGCAGGCATTTTTTAATAAACAAGAAATAAACAGGTTAATATAGTATAGTAAAAAGCCTTATACCCATTGAAGTTTGCTTCAACAGAAACCTATCACTTCTAGAAAAAGAGGGATTCCAAACTTTGATAGGAAACACAGAGGGCTGGGAAGGTGGCTCAGTGCTTGGCTAGCATGCATGAGGCCCTGGGTTCGATTCCTCAGTACTACATAAGCAGAAAAAGCTGGAAGTAGCACTGTGGCTCAGCAGTAGAGTGCTAGCCTTAAGCTGAAGAGCTGAAGGACAGTACCTAGGCCCTGAGTTCAAGTCCCATGACCGACAAAAAAAAAAAAGAATGAAAGGAAGCATAGAGTACCTGAGACCAAGTATACAAAGTAAAAGCTAGTTTTTAACACAGGATTATGAAGAAAGAAAGCTTAAGAGGAGTATTTACTTCTGAATATTAGTAAGCCCTTACTGTCAAAATAATTCATATATCAGTGTATACTTTCAGGTTGTGCTTGGAGTTTGGGAATATTTACATGAAACTTAAGAACTTGAACTTTACAAAATTCTAAAATTCCTTGTATTATATTTACACTAAACTTCTCATTGAACAAGTAACCTGTGTGGGCAGTACCTATTGCCTCGTACCTGGTTTTAAGCAACAAATGGTAGCTACTCTCCAACAAACAGGAGTTAAACTGGGAGCCCTTAAAACGCAGGAGAGTCAAATTTTCTGGGTGCTTACAATAATGAATAAATTTAAAACTCTCATAGTAACAGAAAAGGTTAATGAAAATGAAGGGGAGGCTGGTGTGTGTGTGTCTGTGTCTGTGTGTGTTTTCCTGTACTGGAGCTTGAATTCTGAGCCTAGGCACTGTCTCTGAGCTTCTTTTTGCTCAAGGCTAGCACTCTATCACCTGAGCCACACTGCCAACTTCTGGCTTTATTGGAGGTAAGAGTCTCACAGACTTTTCTGTCTTGGCTGGCTTTGAATTGTGATCCTCAGATCTCAGACTCCTAAGTAGCTAGGATTACAGGTGTGAGCCACAGTGCCTGGCTGATTTTCTTCTTTTCCAAATATACTTTATGTATGTGTATATATAGTAGAGCATCTCTTAAAATTGAAATATGGAGGTTATTTCTCAACTATACTTCTCAAATACACAAAGTTGATCCATCCATTCAGCATATAAAAGTATATTCCCTACTCTTTCCAGATGTTCAGTGAGTAAATGTAACTAGAACTACATGTTATTTTTTCATGATGGCATATGAAAAATTCTAAATAAATCTGATGTAACACAGTATTTCCTCTGAAGTAATTTCATCAGGCAACTCTCCTCTCTTCCCTCTCATTCCCTTCATCTCTGCCTTTTTAATTAACAACTACTAGCACCTCACAGAATAAAACTACTGATAGGATATCTAGAGTACTGAGAAAAATAAGGCAATAGAAGCTGGATGGGGTAATAACATTGACTACTATGGAAAGTAAGCAAAATTTAGTCATGAAGTAAAAAGCAAAAAGCAGATCAATAGAGAGCCCAGAGTATGAACATTGTGACCACCATGTTTAATTAGTGATCATCAGTCTGAGTCTGATTAAATAAAACACATACCAACATTTTTCTAAATACCTGGAGAAAAAATACTTGGGACCAGAAGTGTTTTGAAAATTTTTGCAGTATATACATACATATAATGAGATATCATGGAGATAGCATCCAAGTCTAAATAAAAACTCCTTTGTGTTTCACATATACCAGATAGATAGATAGATAGATAGATAGATAGATAGATAGATAGATAGATAGATAGATAGATAGATGCATTCACATGAGTCAGGTATGAAATTTTCCACTTATGGAAAGATGTCACACTCAAATAGTCTGGGATTTTTTGAGTATTTCAGATTTTTGAGATTCAACCTATATCAGGGTTTATCTAAATTAACTAAGCAAAGATAGTGCATTAGTATGTCTGAATGAAATGTTCTGGTTTCATTAAGAATGCAGTAAGCACATGAATCAAACTAAAAACTACTTGCTCTTTAATTAAAGCTTATTCACTTCTTACATTCTTATTCCAAGTTTCATTTTAAAAAAAAATGTTGTCTTAGTCCTGCCTTGAACTATTGGTAAACCGATTACCTTTTCTACTTGTAGCTTTGCAGGTGCAAAATCTTCATCAAGGGCTAAGCACTGAAGAAAGAGTTGTAAGGCATCACCTAAAAAGCCAGCATCCTGGAGTATTTTCCCTTTCCTGAAGTAGACCTTCAACAAAAACACATAAAAACCTTTACTTACAGAATTGCTTTTAACGAAAATCACAATCAAGGGAAAGAACAAAGTTTGTTTGGAAACATGGTTCTGAAATTATATGACTTTGAAAAAGCCAAAGTACTAATGCAAAATTGATGCCAGAAGTTGTCAAAAACAGTAATACGTGTTCCCTCAATTTTGAGAAATTATTGATTCAAAGATTATTTGTTTACAAAGTACTATTTGAGGAGAAAGAGGAAATGCTACATAAAATTTCCTTTCTTTAAGATGCATTAAGATTTAAAAAAAAAAATTATATGTGAACAAAAATTCATCTTAGAATCAGGGCAATATGGCAAATGTTCTCCATGATACTAAAAAACATATTTTTGCCTCTAATACTTCTTAAGAAGTATTCAGAGACGTGTCCCTTCTCACAAATCCTATTTTGTGTTTTTCCTCCTTCAAAATTAAGGTCAAGTTTTCTGACACAAGTTACCATTGATAAATCAAAAAGTTCCATTTGCAGGATGGTCTATCCAAAGTGTTAACTGGTAAGCTTTAAAAGTGTCTTGCTTATGTAATTAAAATAAGGTGGTTTTACAAGCCATACAATTATCAGTATTAAATAACATTAAAAGGGCTTAAGCACTGTGCTAGTCAATTTTAGATATTAAAGTGACTGAAGAAAATCATGTTTCCAATAGAGATACAGGTGGACCCATTGCAAAAATGAGATGTACAAGTCCTTATGTCAAAAATGAACTTTACAACTTTGGTGGGGGGGGGGGGGGAGGGGGTAGGCGGTGAGGAGGTGGGGGGGGGGAGGGAGAGAGGATGAGAAGGGATGGGAAGGGGAAACAAAGGAGGAGGCGACAATGCTTGATAAGAAATGTACTCATTATCTTGCCCATGTAATTGTAACCCCTCTGTACAGTATTTTCACAACAAAAAAAAGAAAATCATGTTTCCATTTTTACTTCAGTCAAGTCCAGAGGGTTCCTTTCTTTTAAGCAGTCTTACAGCTATTCATACAACCAATGCACTTTTATTTATAATATATATTTGCTTTGTACTAACCAATCATGTCATCAGGGAGTAGTTGTCATTTTCCTGTGTATACTTTTTAAAGCATTCTTACTACACTGTCTTCAAAGTCAGTTTTGAATGGAAGAGAAAAAAGGTCATATAAAAAATTACCTCCAGCTTAAATGTATAGGAGATAGACCAATTTCATAATTAAAGAATTAATTACCTGTGTATCTATGTAACTGGTTACCTGTTATATACATTCCTCAAGTCTTTTAAAAACCCTATGTGTAAGATGACCTCATTTGTCTGCTTCTCTATATAAATTCATTGTCTAATCACTCCATTGTCATTGAATTCAATTTTCCCAGACTCAAGGACCTAAGCTCTTTCCATTTAACAAAATCTTCAATTTGAGTCTATCCATCCTCATAACAAGCTATATTCTTATTTTTTTAAGTTTTTGCATGTACTTATTTTAATATAACAGGTTAAATGAGGGAGAAACGAAAAAAAGGAGAAAGCAATTGTTGCTCCCCATGCAAGAATTAAAAGACTCACATGCTAGCTGTACTTCCTTGGAAAAATTGGTGTAACATTGTTTTTCCTAAGCCGGGTACCAGTGGCTCACACCTGTAATCCTAGCTACTCAGGAGGCTGAGATCTGAGGATCACAGTTCAAAGCCAGCCCAGGCTGGAAAGTCCATGAGACTCTTATCTTTAAAAAACCGGAAGTGGCACTGTGACTCAAGCGGTAGAGCACTCGCCTTGAGCTGAAAAGCACAGGGACAGCACCCAAGCCCAGAGTTCAAGCCCCACGACCGACAAAAAAAAACCAAAAAACAAAAAAAACCATTGTTTTTCCTGTTGCATGAATGTTCTTTAGATATGAAACAAAGGTTTTTATATAATTGAATACTTTTTCAGATAATATAATTTACTCCAAATTTTGAACCTAGATTTCTAGATTATTATTATTCGTAGGCAACAACAATTTTGCTAAAATTAATAAGCATAACAGAAGTGCCCCTCGTTGACACTTTAAAATTTATGCAAATGTACAATAGTAATTTTACCTCAGGCCAATTTGGAAGTTGAAAGAGAACCCCATTTAAGTCTTCTATGGCTGCCTTAAACTCCTGGAGGCCAGCATAGGATTCTGCTCTGTAAATTTTTAGAGTCAGGTCATTGGGCTCTGAAATAAATATTTTAGAAGGATACAGTTATTTTAGAAAGATTATATAATCCACAAAATACTATATTACTTTAAGAAATGACTTGTGCTTCCAGTCAATAACTACCAAACTAGAGTTTATAAACCAACTATAGGCACAGCTCATTTTCATGTCATATCATGCTTTGAAGTGTTGTCAAAGCCTAGGAATATTTTAGAGACTACCGATGGCTAGACCCATGGCTCAAGTATGGAATACTTACCTCGTAAGTGCCAAGGTCTTGATTTAAAAAACCCTCAGTATACTGCCAAACAGCAGCAAATACTGAAAAATACATGTGTAACTACTTCTAAGAAAGTATTTTTTTACAGAAAGAGTAGACTATAACTTTTTTGATTATATGTCTTACATGTTTAGAAGAGCTGCTTTTTATACCTTAATGTCTAAATCTTCCTTTACAAAAATGAGCCCTACTGTGAATACAGTCCCACAGTCACAGGGTCTGATGAGGATTCACTCTTATGAGACATGATCCTTCAGGAAAAGGGTTGATCAGAATCAGCTTTCTTTTCTGGGAGGGAGGAGGTACCAGTACTGGGACTTGAACTCAGGACACTATCCCTTGGCTTTTCACTCCAGGCTGGCACTCTACCACTTGAGCCACTTCCAGCTTTTTAGTGGTTAATTGGAAGGGTCTCAGACTTTCTGACCTAGATGGCTTCAAAGTGCGATCCTCAGCTCTCAGTCTCTTGAGTAGTGAGGATTACAAGTATGGGTCACTGGTACCTAACTGAGAATCAGCTTCAAGAGATCTAATTTTTAGTGTTTGTCCCTTAAATGTCTTGGAAAAAATGCTTTATTATTTATTTTGCCATCCTCTACACCTGTACTTGAGAAACCAAATTACTGTTCAATGGCATGAGGAATTTAATATGCTTAGTCTACTGATCTTTAATCATCAGTTACCACAAGGATGCAAATCTTTTTTTTTGGGGGGGGTGGGGGGGTCTGGTCATGGGGCCTGAACTCTGGGCCTGGGCGCTGTCCCTCAGCTCTTCAGCTCAAGGCAAGCGCTCTACCACTGAGCCACCTTCCCAGGCCCCTTTCCTACTTAATCTTTACACAGGTTCTTTAGAGCAGTATTGAAGACGACCTGGGAGTTATCTTTGAAAAACATCTGATAAACTATGAAATAGATGCTAATTATCCTGATTCAATCATTACAAATGTATACATGTATCACAGTTTCAGTGTTACCCTAAAATATGTATAACTATGTGTCAATCAAAAAAATGTTCTTTTCCACTCTGACCAAAGTGTCTCCTCTTTACACAGAACCATTCAAACTACTGAAACCCTCCCAAAGAGCATCCTAAAAGTCTGTGCATTACTGAAGAAAGGAAAGAGGTTTCTCTAAGAAGAAAGAAACAGAGAACCAGATTTCTTGCTCAACTCTTTGTAGGTATGCTTGTTGAAAATTTCAAATGTAAATGGAATAATTACTCTGAGCAATTCTACTAGGGGAAAAAGGTTCACACTTCATCACTTTTTGAAGAGATTAGGCCTATCCAATTTATTTACTTTGAATCCTTATTCTAAAAAAGTGCTAATACATCAATTGAGGTGTTTTGAGTAATCATAGTGGTTGCCCTTCCTGTGAACTTTCAAGAAAGTAAACTAAAACCAGCAATCCACATTGGCAGCATCATTAGCTCACGTATGAATGAGCAAACATTCACTATCTGTTCTCAATCTGAACTTGAGGACAATGGAGTGAACAAATCATTTCACACCCCAACACAACAGGTTCACTGTTCACTATGATAGGTACCTACAGTGCCTAGCAAGTGCCTGGTACCTCACACACTTGGAATTTGCTGACAAATACAAAGATGGCATAGTTGTGTCAACTGTATAGAGGAAAACAACTTTATAGTCTCATTCCAAATCATTATCTGTAGTCTTGTTTCCTTTCTACCAGGACCAATGATAGGTCTAGTTTCCTGTCAGGATGGAAAGCCCAATCTTTATTTTCAGTCTTTTTAAAAATTATCTTTAACGTACAGAGGTTTCAACTGAGCATGTTGATTCATGCATGCAGTGCACCTATGTACAGTCACCCTTTCCATCATTTTCTCCTTTTTATCCTTGTCTTAATTTCTCAGAGTCCTCAAATTTCTAACTGCCTGCTTATACTTTCATAAATTCAGCATGTTTTCCATCCCTCCCCTCCCCCATAAAAACAAAAGTATTCCACTATTCGACACAGCTGACTTCCCAAATAATTAACTTTGTGTTTCACCTACTATGGTATTTTTCAAATTGACTTCATCTTTCTAACCAACTCCCAGAATCTCTTTGGTGTACTACAATAGCTTGCTTTCTCCTGCCTCCAGTCTACTTACGTGGTCACCATCCACCAGATAGATATCTGAAGAACAGAAAGTTCCTTCATGTCTGTCTCTCTGTAGTCTTACTTCCTTATCATTATGAACCTCCCACTTCAAGTCTCAGTAACACTGATACCATGTCTCCTTCCTTGCTCACAGCCCTCATGGTTCCTTGCCCAGTGCAGGGGCTCTTCTATCACACAAGATTCAGCTCACCCATCTCCCCAAAATATTTTCCTTTGCCTCCCTCTTGACACATCTTAAGGGTGGATTGCCTGAGCCTTAAAAATCAAACTACCTGGTTTCAATTTCTAGGTCCTCCACTAACTGAAGGTGAGAAAGACAATAAATCATCTAGGTGTTTCCTTACTTATAAAACGGGGGGGAGGGGAGGAGTTCTTAGCAAATTTAAGAAATATCAAGATACTGTTCTAAATGATTTACAGCTTTCCTATGTACAACCAGCATTGTTCACATTTTCATGGATAAGGAAATTAAGCACTGACAGTCCAAGCAACTTGCCCAGGATTAACTAGTTAAGTGGTGTATTCAAAATTCAAGGTGGATTCAAAATTCAAACTTCAGCTTTTTTTTTTTTTGGGGGGGGGGGTCCGATCGTGGGCCTGAACTCTGGGCCTGGGCGCTGTCCCTCAGCTCTTCAGCTCAAAGCTAGCACTCTACCATTTGAGCCACAGCGCCACTTCCGGCTTTTTTTTTCTTTTTGCTTATGTGGTGCTGAGGAATCGAACCCAGGGCCTCAGGCATGCAAGGCAAGCGCTCTACCACTGAGCCACCTTCCCAGCCCAAACTTCAGCATTTTTATGTTTACCTCTACAATGTGCTCATACTTGTCTATCTCACAAGGCTGTTCAAGAAACTAAATTCATGAATACTCAGTACTCAGAACAGGCTTGTATAGAGAAGGCAATGCCTGCTTAAGTTGTGACTATTTCTTCACAGTAGACACTGAGCATTTCAGAGTAGTTTTTTAAATCTTCTATTCTTATGCTTGTGCCTGCAGATACTGGCTCTAAAAATGTTCTCTGAAGCATGGAAAACATTAAAAGCTGAACTCTATAAGCTCATCATTCATGCTTCCATTACATCTTCTCTTAGGCCAGTTCTATTCTCTAACTCATTGGGCAAGAAAAGAAAGTAGTCTTGATATGCAGGAGATTTTATGGGCTGGAACTAGATTTCTAGTGATGGTTTTCCATCTTTGGGCCAGTCAATTAGAAGACCATGTCTTGAGTAATATGAGTCTTAAAAGTTGATACTTTAGCTCATCTTTAAGAAATTGTGTCAAGACTACAAAATTCTAAAATATTTACTCATAAAAGTGAAACCAGGTATAATGGCACATACCTACAATCCCCACAGGAGGCTAAAGAGAATCATAAGTCAGCCAGCCTAGGCTACATAGTTTCTGGAAAAAAACAACAACAAAAAAAATGCACTTCTTTTTACAAACACACATACACACACACACACACACACACACACACACACCCCAGTGTTGTTACTGTGAAAAAAAAAATTAAAGATTCAATTGGCTTTTATTTGCAATTCTTGGCAAGCAACATGTAATTCTACAAAAGGCATTAAGTGTTCTGAAGAATAAGCAGTTTGGCTTCACAGATTTAAAAAAATGGCAGAGGAAAGATAGGGGATGAAAAGCACACTGTTACACAGTTACTTTCCTGTCAGGGTTAAAACAGGGTATTTCTTTAGGATGCTGAGTCAGATTGAAAAGAATCATTTTTGGAAAGCTAACCACTTAATCCAGTGTTATTATTTGGTACTTAGCACAAGTTACTCTATTCTGAGTTGGTTTGGTTGCCAGGGCACACAGTTCAGGAAGTTATCCAAACCAATGGCCTTTCATAAAATCCATTTAGCAGTATACAACCTGTACCTTTTTTTCAGGGATATATAGATTACATTATGTGAAATTTTATAAAATATAGCTATATCTACTACTTATAACTTGTTTTATTCTCCAAGTAATTAAAAATTAAATTCATGTGATTTGTGTGTGTGGTTCAGTCCTTGAGCATTTTCACTCAAGACTATCACTTGAGCCACAGCTTCACTTCTAATGGACCTTCCTGCCCTGGCTGGCTTCAAATCTTGATCCTCAGATATCAGCTTCCAGAGTAGGTAGGATTACATGCATGAGCCACCAGTGCCTAAGTTCACATGACTTTTAAAGGCTACAGAATATTTTCCTGTATGCATAAGCTACTTAAAAAGACCTTATTCTGCAATTCTAATTTCTGTTAAAAAGAATAATATTTATCCATATATCTTTTTACCTATGTTTTTCTATTTTCTGTAGAATTGAAAAAATGAAGTTATATAGTTTTCAAGATATTTTGCTTTTTTTCCTTTTATAAAAACTTGATAGTACACTTCAACTATTTTTGTTTAGTAGAAAAAAATTAAAAAACTGTCTTAACATGCATTTGTTTCAACATTATACAGTCATGGAAAAAATCTAGATAGTAGTGCATTGCACGATGTCATTGAGAAACCATGTCTGATGCTAATCCCAACATACTATAATACAGCCATGTCTTGTAGGCTATACCACAATCATGAAAGTCTTTTGATGTTTTGAAGAATGCATC